CACATACACACGTACACACATACACATACATACATACATACATACATACATACACACATACATACATACATACATACATACATACATACACACACATACACACACATATATAGACACGTACACTCATACACACACACACACATACATACATACATACATACATACACACATACAAATAAATAAAGAAATATATATATATGTATATATAGACATATATATATAAACACACACACACATACATATATATATATATATGTAGCACAGCGAAAGTCCCAGGCAAGGCCTGGACCGCCTCAAGCAGATCAAAGCCCAATGGGTGGATATTGAGGTCACGCAAGTGTAGCAAAGCAGAGCATGTTGTCTCCCTGTGTCCCGGTGCCACGGTGTTCTCACTGCTGTACCAGCTTCCATGACCACGTTGTGCAAGTCGCGCAAACTCTCTTTCCCTGCAACCAGACATAGACATAAAATTGAAACCACTGCCGAATCATAAGTGGTCTGGTGGTAGAGTAAATCCATCGTTGCCATCGACGTGACCCGGCTTGAGCTAGCGGGCAAACTTTGTGTGCATGGAGACGTGATTAACAACGGTCGAGACAATGCCACACGGCCAATCCAAGTTGACTTTCGTTATGTCTCTCTTTGTCTCTCTCTCTTTCTCTCTTTCTCTCGCTCTCTCTCTCTCTCTGTCTCTTTCTCTCTCTGTCTCTCTGCACCCGACCAGTCATGCAAAGCGGCTGATGACCACATTCACGTGCAGTCGTCGGCATGCGATGTGGGAGCCAGACAGCTTAACCAGTCCTGCCAGCAACAGAGTAAGACCCGCTGCACAGCAAGTTTTCTACCAAGTTCTCTATTCTATTTTTGCAGGATTGGTCAACATGTCTGTTGTCGTGGAGGCTCGATAGGTCATTCTCGCACCCTTGGCCTCTTGGCAGGTTGGCTCTACAAAATGGTTGGGCAAAGCACTTACATTCCTGCATAGGAGGTTGGCTATGGTGGGTCGGGCAATGTGACACTGCAGTCACATGTTTTAGCATGCAGGTCTAGTTTACAAAACTATCTAGCAATGCATGTCAAGGCAACAAGATGAAAGCGAAGGGCCTCCAGAAGTGGCTGGCTCGAGCTCGCGTCCCAACGCTTCTGCTTCGGAGTGAAGCCGTGCCAAGGCTCCGGTGGTATTGCCAAATGTGTCAGAAACAGTGTCGAGATGAGAATGGCTTCAAGTGCCACCGCATGTCTGCCAGATACCAAGCTTCCCCGGCTTGAGCCCACCCCCTCCTGTGCTAGCCTTGCTTGGATCGAGTCAGGACGGGCACCAACGTCAAATGCAGCTCTTTGTCCAGGATCCGAATCGTTTCATGGACGAGTTCTCCCAGGACTGCTGCTGCGTGTGTACTGAACTTGAGACTGGAGCCAAAACCTCACACTCGTCGGAGGAGTTTGAGAGAGGCTTCATGCAGCTAATGAGCGCGTGCCTTTATTGGCGGCATTTACTGTTGAAGGCACTGGTGACTGACATGTTCAGGCGGGTCATTTGCCGGGGTGCTGTTACAGGTTATTCCACTTGTGCACCACGTCTGGCTGGGAGACCATTGTGATTGCTTGCAAGATCTGTCCGGTTCTGTGCTGTGTGAGCAAGGGCTTAGGACACTGCGTTGTGCTCCGGCAGCTGGCGCTCCGTCTGCCCTTTGACCAAGTTGTCCCAGGCGTGTGGTCGACGAAACTTGTTGGGCCAACATGCTTGCCAGGGGGTGAGCACCAACGCCTCGAAATGCAAAACAAGTGGGCATGACTTGAATGCCAGTGGGCCATTCGACGGTTAGACCATTTTGGGCCCAACAAAACGTGCAGTAATTTCAAAGCCCAGTTCCCACAACCATGAGCGGTCTGATCACATCGCTATGCTACCGTGATAATTAGGGACCGCCGGCGACACGAGGAATTTTTCTCAGGCGTCCGCTGCCGCCCTTGCTTTTGCCTTCGGTGGCCTCGCCACTGAAAGTCTCCCGAGAGCAACCTGAAAAGTGCTATCGATGGCCGGGTGGGAGTGTGCTTTATGGAAACTATGCGTGCCCCATCACCGAACAAAATACGCCGAGGCCATTCACGTGCTGAAAGGCTGCCGTCGATGTTAACTTTCTTGTCCAGGCCTGGGGCACCTTTTCCCCCGAACAGAAAAATATAAGTGTGTTTGCTGGTTTCGTTTCTTTGATATGTGGCTGCAACGCAGCTGCCCGCAAAGCGGCAGTGACAAAACACTTCATCCCCAAAAAAGGCGAGAAACAACAGGCACAAGTTGCGGCAGACATTCCTCTCCTCAAGATCCCGAAACAGTTTGATCAGTTTGGGAAGTTCGGGGCTGCGCTTGCTAGGCCTCGCTGCGTGTGTTATCATGTTATCGGATAAACGAAAGAACACAGAAAGAGCGAGAAATAAAGAGTGAGAACAAATTATGTTTTTGAAACTTGCAACTATCATCCTAGGCCCGGCCCCAGGCCCACCAAAATCAACCAGGTTTACCGAAAATCAACCAGGTCTACCGAACATACACCAGGTTTATACCGAAAATCGACCAGGTTTACTGAAAATCAGACAGGTTTCACAAAAATCAACCAGGTATTTTGACAACAAATCAAAGAACAGAAACGCGGCGGAGAAAAACTCTAGGGGGGGGGGGGGCCTGGGGAAAGCGGGGCCCGAAGGCAAACAAAAACGGCACAAATGAAAAAAAGAGAGATGGTTAAGAAACACACACACACACACACTTTTTTATTGAACAATGCATGGAAAACACATATTTAAACAAAAAATGGGTCAAAACACTTCTTTCGGAGGAAGCACCTGCGAGCCAATCAGGTTTTGGAAAAGGTCTCCGGTAACCCGACCAAAAAAACATCAGCACAATTTTGCCAATTTTGGTTTGCCACGTCGCCAAAAGAAACCGCTCGCCGCCACCAAAAGAAAACACACATGTCCGGAAAAATGATGAAAAATGTATTTGTAAAGGTCTGACCCCCCTCCCTCTCAGCCTAATAAAAGAAAGTCGTACGACAGACTACATACTCCCCAGACTCAGACTTTCGAGACGCAAAATTCAGAAACATCTAAGCCAAAAGAAACACATGTTTCACGCCGAACAAGCTGAGAGAGTGTGAGAGAAGGAAAGCAGTTGTCTGTGATTGCAGAAAACATGTGTTCCTCGATTGTTTCGGTCTCGTAAAATGAACCCCGGGTCAATCAATCCCGAAGGGGACTTGCGCTTGAATTCTGCGTAACACTGTCTTGTGAGTCGAGAGAACTGAGAGAATGTGAGAGGCGGTCAAAAATATTGCCTTACAGCCTTCCAGAGATTCTTTTCAAGCGGAAGCCCGGGGCTAGACAGACTCACGGACGTGGCACAGGATGGTTCAGCTTTGTTTTGTCAGAAGTGTTTTGACTTTGCTTTATTTTGGGGTAACAGATTCAACACAGTTCAACACATTTATGGGGGTTCAAGGTCCTCAAAAAGAGGTTTAGAACACTTCTTATGCCCTAAACCTGGACCCGCAAGAAAGTCAACAACCGTCGAAAACCTTGTGCCGTGATCGAGGAGGCTCATTTAAGTCTTTTCGGAAGGCTAGTCGAAAGATGGTGGGAACCTAGGCTTCGCTGCATGTGGCTGGTTCGCATGTCTCGCTTCCTTGCGATTTCTTCGGCTACTCATGTCTTGTCGTAAAGGTCCGCTCACGACTGCGACAAGTTTTAGAGGTTGTACGCCCTGCCAAATTCCTCCCCTCCCTACTCTGGCCCCGCTCTCAACTTCGCATCCTTCTCAGCTTCCCTCGCTCCGACTTGCCCAGACGAGCGATTCTCCTCCACTCCATGGCGTATCGACACCTACTCAAACGGATGGTTTGCATCGTTTGCTCAGGCCACAGCTACAGGTCGCAAAGAGTTGGCGGCTTACTTGATGCTCCCACTCACAGCCGTGCTATTGCATGAGTCGTTTTTTTCTTTACTGTAGTGGACACGCACGGCAGGTTCTTGCCAACACGGTCTACTGCCGGATGCCTGGGGTTTGGCAAGAAGATCTTTTGCTGAGCCATTTTTGGTCGCAGCCTTGTTTGGCTCGAGCATGCGGAAGATTTGCTGCTGACGAACCCACAGCACCATGGAGGCATCTTTGTTGCAAGATCTAGTGCAAAAATCCCTAGGTCTTGTTCTTCGGAGCTTTGCTTCTGCTTGTGGTCGTGTTGTTGTTGCTTTTACGATTGTGGTTGGGGATAGTGGTCAAACTTGAAATGAGATCCAAGAAAAAAACTAGACATAGCTGTTGGCGAGAAAAGGAAGAAGGAAAACATTACCCTCCATCCATCCCCGCCTCCCCGACCATACCCTTGAGTGAAGCCGCCTCATTCCATTTTGGTGATAGATGTGCTCGCTGATCTTGTTGTTTGCGCCAGGGACTCTGAAGGTACCGCCCCTTAGTACGTGTTGCGCGCAGTGTGAAAAGCGGCTGTCTCCGGTTCATCCACCCGTTGTTCCCGTGTTTGGGCAACAGGTGATAGCGGAGCACTGTCTCCTCGTTCCGGGCCATGGCCTCTGGTGGATGGCAGGCAACAGAGCTCAGCCGGATCGCAGTCTTTTGGAGGCGGTTCCGACGGTGGATGTTGGCCGACCACGTCGGCAGTGCAGGAGACGGCGGGGCCTGCCACTGGCGACGGTGGAAGCCGGGGCGGCGAGGCCGAGCGATGGCCAATGGCAATCAACATGGCAGTCCGGCATGGGCTATACCTCCTGGGGACACGGGGGGTGGCAGGGCAACGACTGGTGGCCGTGGTTGTGGCAGCAAGGATCAACGACAATCGGCGACTTCAGCGATCCTCCCGCGTGGGGCGGCTGGGCAAGCTGCCGGCTCTGGAAGAAGGCGTTGATCAGATGGAACCAGAACACGGACATCCCTGTCTGGAGGCGCCTCGAGAAGTTGAGCAAGCAGCTGGGCCGGGATTTGCAGAGCCGCTTTGAGCGCGTGAGTGAACATGTGCTGGCTGGTCCTGACTACCTGCAGGCCGTTCTTAGCATCCTGGTTTCAGTTTGCCGTTCGTCGGGAACAAGAGTTTGCTGGGGCCGACCGGTACCTCACCATCCCGTCCGAGCTCAAGGCCTTCATCTTGGAAGAGACGGCCAGCTTTTCGAAGCAGGGCATCCAGAACCTCAGGACGCTGACCAGTGGCACGACGGACTTCGACCGAGTGGTCGGGGACCTTAAGACACTGGATGTGCAGGAGGAGCCGCTCACGAAGGGCAAGAACAGCTTCCTGGCTGGCGTGGCCGCCGGCTGTGAGGAGAATGCTGACGGAGAGGGCGGCTCCGATGACGAGAGTGACCTCTCCCGGGACGGGGCGGCTGACGTCGAGGCCTTTCTTGCCGAAGTGAACGATGTGGACGAGGGCGTGGCACTCGAGATGCTGGCCTTCGAGGAGGACGGCGGCCAGGCGACCAGGAGACGCACCTGCAAGCAGAACAAGGATCGCAAGCTGGCATCACGAAATGCCCGGAGGGTGTTCAGCAAGCCGCGAGTTAGGCATGAATGAGCTCAAAGAGCGCAACAGGTGCACAAACTTTGGGGAGCGAGGACATTGGCAGGCCGAGTGCAACAATACCGTACCGCTCCGCGGAGGAACGCAACAAGGCGGAGGGTCGCTCGGAGGACCGGGGCAAGCGGTATCCTTTGTGTACCTTGGCTTCCCTGCTCGCGACCCCTCCTCGAGTCCTCGAGCAACACCTGTGTGGGCTGGCTTGGGAAGGACGAGGTCGCGACGCCGAGCTCATTATCCGATTCTCTGCGAAGGCGGCCAGCAATGCTCTGCTGAGCCCGGCCGTGCTTGGAGGATGGGAAGGGCGACCTTGACCTGCAGAGCGAGCTACGACCAAGGACAATCCGGACCCCGACGCGGGCCCCGACCAGCTTCGCGACATGGAGCCCGATTGCATGATTCTCCGCAAGATTGCCGGCTTCCTCAAGATGGCCGTGCTGATGACGTTGGCCCTGGACGTTTTCTTCGCGGTGGCGCCGGGACATCCGATTCTCAATGTTGGTGCCGCGCAGGGCCTCATTGGGGAGCTGGCGTTCAAGAAGCTAAGTGGGCGACTTCGGGCACAAGGTCCCGGGCACAACGTCCCCCGTCTCCCCACTCCTTCCTGCCCTCCCCCTCCACCCTGCCCGCCCACTTACCACCTGTCCAGGCCACTTCGCTTGCCCCCCTCCCCCCTCACACCTCCCGGCTCGTACTTAAATCAAATTAAAAATAACATCAAATAAATAAATTCGATAGATATATAAGTGAAATTCTGAAAATAGCTTGTCCCAATTGAATATTTCTTAATGTAGGTCAGGACTGTTTAAGATTTCAGTCATTTTCAATAATTCAGAAAAATATTTTCCGAAATCCGTCGAATCGTATTCTTTGGTATTGCCACAGTTTGTTGGAAATTTTTGCGCTTTTGCTTTTCTGTGCAACGAAGCTTGAAACCGATGAAATGCTTTGAGTTCTATTGTTTTATTGTATCAAAATATTGTAAACCAGCTAAACTGAAACATTCGGTGTTCCTATGTGGCATTGCTTTTCCTTATATATCTATATCTATATATATATATGTATATATGTATATGTATATATATATATACACACAAATGCATACATACACACATAAACAACGTGATCTAAATATACGAAACTAAGTTTTATATTGATGAACAGTATTTTTGTTACTCTTAGCGCTAGTCGTAGCCGCATCTACATGTTCAAGATACTCCTATTTTGCCATCAATTCACTTCGCTTTGCTAAACCAACCTTACATCACAGGAGGTTTGATCAAACAACGAATGTTGCAGGTTGCTGTTGCCCCGCACCACCAACCGGGGACTCGACAAGGACGCGAATGCAAGCCACGACAGCTCAACGATTCCGGGTGCATCTTTCCAGCATGCAGAATCTACTTGTCGCTTTATGACAGTTAAGCATTGCTTGCTGTCTCCCAGTAGCTGTCCTTCATTTGATGATGTCAGCTACTCCCGCACTACACATAGCTACCTACGCAAGCGAGCGACTCGAAGTGGGAGTCTTCGCGATGGGCGCCCGTCTTGGTACTTGAGAAGCTTCACTCTCGCGACGACTTCAAGCGACAGCGAATGGCTCTCCTCAGTGCACTAGATTCGGTTCTTTCGGATGCGGAAGGGGATCTGTATTCTGGAAGACGGGGCTGGTTAACATTTTACCCTCTGAAGAGAGGAGCTTTTGTGCTTCTCTTTTTCCAAAAGAAGGAGAGGACTCCTTCATTCTCAGCAAGAGATAACTGCCCGCCTTTCTTTCTAGTTCTGATCTCACCCTCTGAAGAGATAGTGGAGTTTTCCAGCTTCTCTTTTTCAAGGACGAAGGGGATCCCTTCATTCTCATTATGAGATAGGGGGGCCCTTCTTTCTGATTCAGATCACCCTCTGAATACATAGAGGAAATTCTCCGTTTCCATGAACATGCGAAATCGCGTTGCGACACACAGCAATCCTTTCAGTCAGTCTAACTATGCGATAGGACATGAGGGACGAGATAGAAGAGCTTTCCCAACTCTTTCCGACAGAACGAAGAACTCCCATGGTTCGCTGCAAAAGCTAGAAGAGCTCTCTTCGTGCTTCGCAAAAGCTCTCGTGTTCTCTTCAATCTTGCAAAGTTACAGAGGAACTCTCTGAATTTCGCCGAGGCGTCCAAAACTCCACTGTTTTCTTCGTCGAAAGCGTTGCCGGGTTCCCTGCTTGTGGTAGTCCATGGGATGGATCGGCCATCCCTTTTCTTATTTACCGAAGTAGGAGCTCCCCAGATCTGCGTGCTTCGTGCTACTGGAGAGGCTTCACTCTTGTGAAGAATTATGGGGGGGTTGAGAGACTCCTTTCATTCTGTGGAGTCAAGGCTCCTTCGCCTGTTAGTGGACTCTGACATCCAACAATAATATGAGAGACATGTCGCGACCCCTTCAGTCTTCGGGCCCAGGTCTCTTGTCTGATCTTTAATCCATAGCTGAATTCTGTTTGCAAGCCCCGAGGCTCCTGCTTCTTATCTTCAAAGGAAGGAAGACCGCCCGTGATTCTCATTGAGAGATAGAGGGCTTCGCTCCTACTCGAATCATGAGATAGGAGAGGTTTCCTCCACGCCCTTAAAAGGTTAGAAGATCTTCCCCACCTCTCTCTTGAGGATCTCTTTTTCTTGGTAAGAGCTAAAGGAACTCTCTTCCTTTCGTGAGAGCCCTCATGCCCTCGCCAGAGGAGCTCGTCTATTTCTCTTTGGCAGACGCAGAAGTTTTTGTATTTTTACAACGATGCAGAAGAACTCAGCGACTCTTCTTCCAGATGTCGACGGCCCTTCCAGGAGCCCGTGTTTTCACAGAAGAACTCCCTGACTCTGTTCTCTTTGTTCAAAGGGCAGCAGGGCTCCCCTCTCATCCAGACATAGAAAAAGTCCCTCCATGATAAAGATTTGTCATCTCCTTTGCTATCTACTGCACGGAGCCTTCACGCTACCTAAGATGGCTGACTCTTGTGAAGAATTACTGCAGAGTTACTCTCTTGTTCCTGCGAGGTCGAGCCTCCTTCACCTTTTCTTGTGGATTCCGACGACCACGGATGCGACAGACATGTCGTGGCCGCTCCGGCTTTCATGCCCTGCTCTCTTCTAATTCCTATCCAGACCTGGGTTCTGCTCTTTCCGATTGCTAGGCAAGGGCCCGGGAACCCCTTCTTTATGATTAAGATCAGATAGACGAGCTTGTTTTTTCATCCGCTGAAGAGACAAAAGGGCTCTCCTGCGTTCTTTGTCACAAGAAGGAGGGTCGCCCTTCATTCTCATGAAGAGATAGAGAGAAGGCCTCGTTCCTTTGTTATACGAGGTAGCTTCCAGTGTTCACCGCGAAGACACAGAGGATCTTACTCACTCTTACTCACTTGCCAATGGAAAGTAGTGGAAGTATCTCTTATATATTAAGACTAGGCCAAGCGCTGCCCTGTCCTGTCCTTCAAGAGAAAGCAGGTCTCATTAATCTTCCACATACATAGAGGAGCTCTCTGCTTGGTAGAAGGTAAAGCAGCTAAGCTCTCTTCGTGTTTCGTAAAGGCCTTCGTGGCGTCACCAGGAGCTCATATATTTTAAGGATGAACTCCCTGACTCTGTTGTCTTTGTTCAAGGCGCAGCAGGGCTCCCTTCTCATCCAGACGTAGAAGGAGCCCCTCCGTGATAAAGATGGGCCATCTAATTTGCTATCTACAGAAGTTTAGGCACGTTGCTTCAATCTTCCAATGTAACTCGCCATATGGGCGATTTGCTAGGTCTGTCACCCCTCTGAGACGACGGGGTCGTTTCCCCAAAAGGTTGCGTGATGTTATTGACAGGATGCGCAGTTCCTGTGGCTCCAGCTCGCATCGGACGCATCGGCGCACTGTGTGTCGATTCATGCGCAAATTCAATCGACAGCGCTGGGCTGTCTGCCGCAATGTATATACACCGTTTAGTACGGGATGACTTGAAACCTAAGTCCGCTGCCTCCTATCTCATTACTGTCGGTGATGAGATTCTCGATGATGCGACTGCAGAACATATTTGGATTGAGTTCGGGCGCTCACAAACGTCATGGGAGGGACAAATTCCTCCGGAGCAGATACTTGATCTATACCAAGGTTGGTCTATTGAGCCTCCTTGTATGCCGCCCATGCCTGAGGAGGCGAAGCAACTACATCATTGCACGAAGCATTGGTTGAAGGCGGTTTCGGAGTCACCGTTGGTATCTCGCAGCCGGGCTCTCGTACAGTGGTCTGAATTGTGTGATGCCATCGCCTGTATCAACCTCCGCGCAGCTCCACCGCCAACTGAACCCATTCCTGTTCTCATTTTGTGCTTACCATCGAGCTCTGCGGGCTTGCTTCGTTGGTTTCCCTCGTCATTCTGACGATCATTTGCCTGCCACTTGGGGCTCAGTACTCAGCAGTTGTAACGCCGCTCACAAAGCCAGGGCAGCCGCGGCAACATCGAGTCCCACAGGCCCATCTCTCTCATGCCACTTGGCTTGAAGCTTCTGGACAGGATCTTACCATTCGAGCTCAGGAATGCCCCTGGCAATTGTGTGGAAGTAAAGGCCCGGATGTAAGTTTTGCGTTTCCGGGGGGAAGCCTGCGCTCGGCAAACCTGGTGAGCTGCCTTGTGGTATTCTTGGACGGTCAATCTGCTTTCTGTCGTCCCCGGCTCTGGCGGCTGTCGCCAGCTTGCGTCGCCTACCTGGAATTCATGAACATAGCATCCTGGCAATACACACATTGCTTTTTTTTTCGGGTTGCGGTCGAGAGTTGCGATTTTCGGCGCGGTGCACTCTCCAGTCAAGAATAAAGTGGGCCTGCCACAAGGTGGTTTGCTGTCTACTGCGTTGTTTGTTCTCCTCACCCCTGCCTCTTTACGATAGGCTCTGTGACTATGGCACTGCGTGCAATCTCAACCTCATTGATGAGAGCTTAAGTTTCCCCTGCAGCTGGCGAGGGGGGGGGATATTGCCCTTTTGAGTGCAGACCCGGCGAGTGCACAAACAACTCTGGATGCTGCAGAGCATTGGGCGGGAGGCATCCGCATGACATTCAACCTTGGTGTCGACAATCTGCTGTCTTATTGATGGCAAACTCTTAGCTGACCTCGGTCTCATGCTGCATGGGAATCCTTTGCCTCGTACTGATCGGTACCGGCGCGGTACCTCGGTGCTCTTCTCACGCCCACTGGTTGTGTGGGTCCTTCCTTATTGGATCTTGAAGACAGGGTGCTTCGGATGGGCTCGCTCCGGCGTCATTGCTTGGAAAGTTATGGTGCCTGTAATTTGAACCACTCGTCTGGTTCCTTGTTGCGGGCATTCCGTTGTCTGACGGCCAGCTGAAGTGCTTGACTTGTTGCAACGCAAGATTGCTCGATTGCTATTAGGCCATGGATAGCGTTCTCCAGCTCCATCCTGTCTGTTTTGGGCTGGACTCCGTGGTCTTTCCATGTGGCGGCTGCGCGTCTAGGCCTTCTGCACAGGGTCTTCGCAGATCGGTGTAATCTCATGGCACAGCTATTCCACACAGCGAAGGTTGTTCCTGGCACGTGGGCTCATCTTGTCAACTCAGATCTGCAACAGGTGTTCGGGTGCAGTGATCTTCCAGCGTCCGCCTCCTGGGCGCGTGACTTGCAGACATACAGACAGACATGCAGAACCGTTCTGGCAGAACCCTGGGGTGGCATCATGTGGTCAGTCGACTCCTGCTTTGCGCTTTTCAACCTTACGCACTTCCCCATGCCAGCAGCTACTGACGTAGCCAATCGACACATCATCTTATCATTCTTTGAGATGTCGAATGTCACAGGCGCGGTGGACCTATCGCTTCTCGTATTGCGGTTGTTTACTGGTAGGCAGGGGTTACGTGCCGGGGATATGTGTATCTCGGTGGCGGCGACGCCGCACAATTGCTGCCTGTTTTGCTTGAGGCATGGGACGCTGAGGGCCGAAACCTTACATCACTTTGTTAAGGAGTGCCCGTTAGGAGCTCTTGTTTCATTGCCACATGATCTGCATGACTACGTCCTGGAGCCGGCTACTGTAGCTGGATTTCTCTTTTGGCATCCGAAAAGCGAGCCATCCTTCTCAGCATTGGGAGGATGTGGCGCTCACGCATGGCTTGGCTTCGAACGGAACATTGCAGTCGTGTCTCGCACAGGCTGAGGTTTGCCCAAAAGTGATGGCCTGCTCGTTAGCCTCCTCCTTTCTGTCTGCCCCAACGCCTGCTTGCCTAGCGTGAGTGCGTGTTGACGGCCAACAGTGAGTGCTCATCGAGTGCATCTTGCTTCGGGCCTCCAGAACAAAAAAGAAGTGGGGGCCTTCATGCAAATTAAGAGGCCTCCCGCTTATGAAGAATTAGTACAGAGCCACTTTCTTCTTCCTGAGAGGTCGAGGTTCCTTCACCATCTTCGTGGACTCTGACGTCCGAGGATGCGACAGACTGTATGGATGGCCTCGCTCTTTTCTTTATTCAAAGGGAGAGGAACTTTCCTTTCTTCTTAGGCGGTAGAAGAGCTTTCTTCTTCATGGCAAGGGTAAGGGGAGCTGTAGAAGCCGCTCTCCTCTCATATCGTGAGAAAAACAGTTGTCTTCAGTTGTCTACAGACACAGAGGAGCTCTTCCCTTCATATTGTGAGGTATGAGGAGCTCTCTTCTTCTCATCAAGATTCATTGATTTCGTGTTGCGACAGACAGAAATCGTTTTCAATCTGTTAAGAGAGGTGACATCAGCCACCTCTTTTGCATCTTTGGTGGAGGGAAGAGATCACCTCTACATCTTACTAAGAGGGAAAGGGAACGAGCTCCTCTATGTTTGTATGAGACTGACGAGGAGTGTTTTTCTCTTCCCCACAGCTCGACGAAACACGAAGAGAACTGCTTTACCGCTTTCCACAAGCAGAGCTTCTCTATATTTGTGGAAGATGAGAAAGCCTTGCATTTTTCACATTCACAATTGTAAAGAAGAGAATTCCGCTTAGGCTTAACAAAAACGCGACAAATTTTCTCCCTCCTAATGGAAACGTGCCAGATCCTCTGTCTCTTGAAAATGATTCATGGGAGCTCTTTCTTCCGTTGGAGGGAGAGAAACAGGAAACTCTTTTATCTCGGGTGAAGAGGACACCTCCAGCAGCAGTCCTCTTCAATCTATTATCAACAAAAAGGAAGGTCTCCTTTCCACCCCTGCAAGATGAAAGAGCTTTCCGGCTTGTCTCTTTCCACAAGAAACAGGAGCTCCCATGATTCACTCCCAATAGACAGAGGAGCTTGCTCAATTGCTATTAAGAAGTAGTATATGTTATGACTTGGAGAAAATCTCTCCCTTCCGTTTGCGATAGAGAGCAGGTCTCATTCATTTTCCACAGACATAGAGGAACTCCCTTCTTGGAAAAAGGTAGAAGAGCTCTCTTCGTGTTTCGTAAGAGCCTTCGCGTGAATTTTGGATAATTGTTTTTGTGTGTGATGTTGGAATGTTGTTCGGGGTGTTTGCTTGGTGGCTTTTGGTTGCAATTGTTTTACTCGGAACGTCGTTTGATACGTTGATTAGCCTTCACATGTTGATTCTTAGCGATCTTATTGTGTCTGAAGATCTACCGTTTGCTGGTATATGTTTGAGGGTTTGGGGCTGCAGTGGGTTATTCGGAAGTTTACAACTCCAAGCCCGCGGCCCTGTGAAGCTCGCTGCAGGTCCCAGAGAGGTGCATGCACTGTTGCCGCATTTCAGAAATTTCAGGCACGGCACCGCGTCCGAATGTCCCAGATCTACATCACCATGCTGAAGGGGAGTTTCGTTGAGTGATGATTCCAACAGCAAGCACCTCTCTCCTGTTGCTGTTCCGAAAGATGCTGCCGAAGTCGAGGATGGTATCGTGCAGGAAGTGAAGGCTGTTAGGGACAGGGTGTGCTCGTGCACATACGTTCACGGGCCCGAGTTGCATTGGGCTAGCTGCTAGCTGCTGGCGCACTTAGCCTGCTAAGAACGAATTGATGTTGCGCTTCTGTCGAGCCTTTGGTGGCTGCATGACTCAGACCGTACTCAATCACATCGATCAGGGGTTTACTCTAATTGTACATCTATCGAAAAATTTTCAGTAAAGATGTCATATTGTGGCCCGGACACTTCGGATTGCGGCAAGGCGGTCATTTCGAGCTTACACGAAGCCGAACACTATGTCATTACATGTTGCAGCTGCATGTCAAACTGCCGAAGCCTTACCCATTCAGCATTCAGTCGGCCAGAGGCTGACTGACTCAAATCATACTTCAAGGTCCATGGCACATATGGATATACAATGTTACGTATACGAAAACACTATGTGCATATAGAAATTAGTTTAGTATTTGTAGCTTATGCAGTGCATTGTGAAATAAACGCGCCGCGCTTGACGCCAAGGCTGTGAAGGGTCGTGTGACTACGGGCACTTATCTCAAGATGATGAGTGCCTTGGACGGATGCTGTGTCGCACCGGTGGCGCAACTCGGCACAGATTCCTTGTAGAGTTGTTGCTTGTCTTCGCCCCCAAGTGGAAGTGGCAGAGAGAGGAAACTCTGGACATGCCCTCCCCGCAATGTGGAAGCTCGGATGTACAACTGGTGGGTTGAGAGTGTGCGCTGCGGAATTTCGCAACTTTGTCATTGCATGTTTGGAACCCTCAAAGGATGAAGCGCGATTGCTGTCATGAGGTCAAGTGGGACGACGCCAGCGGATACCCTACGTCTACCTCCAGCAACAACCGTTCGGTGGTCTTCGCAGGACGTCTGTCATGATCCAAGTGCAGTGGTAACATGGCCGGGAGCATCGAATGCTTGATCTCCAGGATCATTTAACCCACCGCATCATGGCCACTTCGAGATCATCCGGTACCTATCAAAAACATTTTCTGAAGTGCTCCTTGGAGCCATTCCGAAGAATTCCAAATTTGGTACCCAGCGCGGGAGAATCAGTCTGCTTAGCAAATGCTCAGGCATGTGGTAATTGGCATCAATCCAGCAAAGCGCCTCGCTGTTGAAATGGGCATTTCATGTCCCAGAGACTCCTGCAGGGGCAGTTATTGTGAATTCACCCAAGCAAAGGACGTACCCGGTTAGTCGAGGTCTAAGAGCTTGCTGCATGTTCACGTGCATGCATTCACGACTACTCTGTGGTCAACCTGATCTCCTGCTGAGGTCCCGACGAGCGCAAGGCAATTATCGAGCACGCTCTTCCATCCATGGGAGCCCAGAATGTCAAGGTCGCTTGTTTTGAATATTTTGAATGGATGCGTGCACAATGACAGACGGTCTTGTGTCTTCGAGGTGTGGGTGTGGGGCGATGCCGCTTGGCTGGGTAGCGCATGCCCAGACCAAAGAATGATCTGATGTAGTTTTCGAGTTGCGAATACCACCAGGTCATCTTCAAGTTGGCGAGAAAGGTCGGTGCAACTGCAATGCGATTCTTCAGCAGTTGTGCAGCTTGTGGTGTCTTTCTGTTTGTGGACAGGTTTTCCGTTAGTGCAAGGTCTTCCGTGCTGTTCTGTGCCAATGCTGAGGTATCGTGGCATTCGCAGCTGGCAAGAAGATGGGAAGGCCGAAAGGTACTTGGAGGCGGCTTCGTGTCGCGATCTCTAGCAGCTGCCGACTGAGTGCCCTCCAAACGAGGAAGCTTGCAGCATGTGCAGCATGTGGCAGGTTCAGAACGTTTGCTGGCCTGTCTTGTCAACTTGTGCATCGCCTATGAGCCTTTTGGACTGGATGCGGTGCAGCAAGCTTTCGCTCCTTCGTGTTTCAGTGCCGACGTGTAACCAGGCACGTACTTCGTGGAAGGGCCGCCGCAGTACTCCTTCGTGAGCTCTACGCTCCTGCGGGAGCGGCTGAAATCTGGCCAGAGCATAGCCGACATTATTCCGGCATTTTGGCTGCACACTTCTGAGGCGATGCTGTGGACTCGCCTTTGCGTGTCTCGTGCAAGGCAGTGGTGGCTGACAAAGTCCGCACAGCTTACGAAGGCAAGCTGTGAGCAGTTGGGAGGGTAAGAACGGCTGAACCATGGCTGGCCATTGGTGTGGGCACGGGATGATGTTGGATGGGTACAACCACGAGCTCTGCGCTGTGCTGCGGATTGAGACGGTGAAGCACGTCACAGTTCGAGCTGAGACCTGAATCGCAATCATCCGGTGCTGTTCTGTAACAAGCAAGCTGCTGCCGAGAAGGGACGCGGAGGAGATTGAGGGAGCGAGACCAAAAGCGCGACCGATGCAATTTTGCACATGTCGCTTAGCCGTCGGCTATAAAGAGCTTGGTATGCGTCAATGTAGGCTGTGCGCTCAGGTGATTTTATTTCCAACCGACACCACACGCACATGAACTCGACCATCTGGGTACGCCCTACTTATGAGATCCATGGCTTTTCTTGTCAGTATAGGATAAGCGAGTGCCACGCGTCGCGGGATGTGATTCCGAGCCCGGAGTTTGGTTGCTTTGCTAGGTCACTCTCAGCAACTTCGTCCAGTACCTGGGAAGGACGAACCAGTGCACCATCGACAAGACTCCAAAAGGCGCGGATGTGCAGAAGAGTCCCCACAGACTTCGTCGGATTGTACTACGCTGACTACACAACCCTCCAGGCTGGTACCTGCAGTTTGTGGATAACTCGCCCGAAGCCCGCTTGCGAGCTGCAGCGGCCAAGGCCACTCGAAACCTGTGCCAGGCTAAAGTTGCTTTCACCGGACTCCGGCCAAGTTGGGCACTCTGAACAGCTTCACTCTGCATCAGGCGAAAGAGGAAGGTGAGGTTTCTTCAGAGCAAAGGCATGACATTGCCTTGCGTGCTGCCAAGTTCTTGTGTTTGCCTGGTGTGCCACGGAACGCTGGTGTAGTGCTGATACTCAGGAAGAAGGCCATAGCAGAGTGCAAGAAGGCCGATCTCAAGCCATTAGATGAGCCGTCTTGTGAGCTGGCGTTGCTTTTTCGCAGGATGGAGGCTTCCAGGAGTCAGAGTTCACGGAGCTCCAGCGCAAGGCATCTGGAATGGGAAGATGGCCAGTGTCGATGGAACCCTCCCTTATGAACCCTTCGTTTGATAGTATTCTCTTTGCACTTGGGAAATCCCGGGCGTGCTTCCTGCTTCCGCTGGTAAGTGCCAGACCTTCAAAGGCTTTTGAGGCTACCTCCCCGAATCAGGCTGGCACTCCCCCGAGGCCAAGATAGCATCATCGCTTAAGCTGTTGCTTGGCTGGGGCCGAGACACGAGAGCACATTGACACAAGCACATACCTCCAATCTGACTCCGAGCTTTGACTTAGGCAGGATAGGCAGGTGGCCAGAGTCGGGTGACTTTGTTCCCCATTCCTGTGCTGCACAGCTTGGCATTCAGACGGTCCGGCTCAAAGTACACTGTAAGGCCGTGGGCCTGCACCTCATCGCCACTTGCAATGGCTAAGTATAGACTGCAAGTACCTCGAGACTTGTGGAACTTGCTGAAGTGTTTCCCTATTTTACAAGAGTAATGATCTGAGTAATGGTGTGTTCATGTGGTCATGTTCGCACAAATTTCACACTTCAGGAAGTGAACCCGCACCAACCATGTGCGTAAAGTAGAATTAATTGGCTGGGACGGTCATGTTCTGCGGATATTGCGAGAACCTTTTCGAGATGTCGCCAGAATGCTTCTTGCTTTATGAATCGGCGGACTGCGATCCTGACATATCCTAATTTTTGTGAGAAATTGTGAGAACCTGCAATGCATGCGGAGCTGTGCCGCGGAGAAGTTGGGGCTCTAGCTGTTGGCGTGGCGATAGAGGCTCACATGACCAACGGGCGAAACGTTACCTGTGCCCAGTGCCGCAAGACATTAAAGCACCGTGGCTGTACACTGTGGCACAACCCGTGCAGTGGCACACGCGTCCTCGCCCCAGTGACCTGCAAGAATGTCACATCGTCCAGGAAGGCGATGCTCCGATTTCTTTCAACATGGCGCCGCATCCCCAGATGGAAGGGGAGTTTCTTTAGGCACTGGTGAACACTTCTCGAAACGAGCTCAGGGCCGGATCGGCCTCCTCGGCTCCGGCGAAACCTCCTCCAGTCAAGGAGGTTTTCAACTTCCGAGAACTTCCTAACAGGTAGCAAACTTCTAGCTGTCCTCTGGTCGCCTCTTGCGAAAGGTCTCAGAGGCTGCCGTCAAGAAGTGTTGACCTCACTGCGACGGCAATTGTCGCCTGGGGGGCGGATGAAGAGGTTGCCTGCGTGCCTTAGATGCCAAGGAACGCTCTTGCGCAAGCCTTTGAAACACATGAGACGACAGAAGAGGCGCAGGAGGGCGGTGCTAGACAATTACATGGAACGGAGGGTGTGAGCAAGGACCACCTCCAGCAATCCGGTTGCTTGGGTTTCAGGACACCAAGAAGCACAAGCTGAGCGCGGTGGAGCGCATCCGATTGGAACACGAAGAATCCAAAAGGCGCAGCAGTATCGCTCTCCAAAGCTGTGTAAGTATGTAAAGTTGCCAGGCAGAAGCTGCAGCCTGCACCGGCGTCCCCTTCTGAAAGCTCTTCTTCAGGCCAAGTGCACACATCAGCAGTGCACAGTATAGCGCGCTCTGCACTCGGGGACAAATTCTCTCAGGGTCAGAACCTTGGCTAACGGAAGGCATCATCGTGAAGGCCCTTGAATGCAGCGCCATCCTGCTCTGTAAAGCTGAGCCTTCCAGGTGATGCATCAAGACCTAGCCGGTGGTAAATACTATCGCAAGAAGGGCAAGGTGCACTCTTTCTTGTGGTGGTTTGTTTTCTTGCGAACTTTGTTAATCATGTGCAGGTAGAAAAAGTCCGCAAGCAGTTTACCGCTGACATCCGCATGGTCGAAAGCAGGCGAGCCTTAGTGGGTGATTTCAAACAGTAGTGAGTGACTAGCAGCTAGCAGTAATTGATCAAGCTTCTTTTTCAAGAGATGTTCTCGACCCATGGGATAAACACGTAGCAGTTATCTTCCCGCAAAACAGGGGCGCTTGTTGACGAAGAGGCTGCCGTCCCGCGACCATATCATTTTCAAGCATCTTTCCTGAGTAGAGGACTTATCTTCCGAAGATGGCGGTGACCTTCCTTTCGAACAGCTATCTGTACGTAGGTTGCACGTAGAGTGACAGTTATCTGCACGACGAAACCGATAGTTACAAATGCAAAGCCCGCAAGGATGTCATGTATTTGTATGTTGAAGTCCATAGTTGACCGTGGTTAGCAGGACGAAAAGCGATGTTGCCTGTATTTAGACGTTGCAACACTTGCAGGCAGTGCATACCGTACGCTGAGTTCACGTTCAGATCAAGAGGGCTTTCGTTTGCTGTTCGTAGTTGCCCCTGTAAGACCTGCGTAGCCTGAGTGGAGAGTTGTCAGTGGAGGAACACGCAGCATGGGATGGCAAGGTGCTGCTACGACAAGACAGCATGATGAAACGACCAATCACAAGAGAGGGGTTCAGGGAGTTTTCGGGAGGTTCCACGCAGCATGAGGGGGTTCAGATGGCGCCACGCAAAGGATTGATTAATTTTTGAGCAGGAAACTGCTCCAGCAATAGTGTGTCGCAGAAGGAACATTACCTTCGATTCCTCCCATGACAACATACGAAAATGGATGTTTCAGTGAGCCAGGGAACCACCAAAATAGTGGGCACCCTGCAGACACAACTTGGAAAAGTCCCCCCTGGGCTCCTGAAAAGTTTGCCAACACAGCCCTTCACGGAAACTCGGATTGGAAAAGCTCTGTATGAGTCCCGTGAGTCGAAGCAAGGATGTTTGATTCGCCGCGGTTGATGCAGGGATTTCAGTGTTCTTGTTCCGGAGAGGCACACATTATGTCGTTGTGTTGGCTAGAGTTTTTTTAGGGGACAGGTAAGGGCCGAATGATGGGTGTCGAGAAGATATGTGAAGTTGCTCAAACTGGTTTCGGAAGAGGATTGGTGATGAGAACAAAACATTTGCATCAGGATTCTCCTCTGCAGGACATGGGTCGAGTGTGGCTCGCGGGTGTGCGTAGTTATTGAATAGTGTTTTGTCTAAGGTCGTTTTTGCAAGATAGTGTCGCTTTTGTTGAGGGGAAGCGTTTTATTGATGTCCAAGATATGTGTTACTGTCAACGAAAATGGACATTGTGCTGGTGTAAGATATGTGTGTGTGGCAGAAGGGTAAGCAGTGCGTAAGATGAGTGCTGGTTTCGAGAACCGTGTGGGGAGTTACCATTGCAGACGGACCCGAAGGGGTGCCGACACCATGTCACCTTGCTCCCCTGCACAGGGACCTCATTCGCTTGGACCAGGAGATGCTGGAGTCGGGCACTGATTTCACACCAGCAGGAGGTTTCCTTTCCTGCAATTCGATGACAAGGACCGTTATCCCCAACCTGGGCAAGCCAGTCATGGTGGTCCGTCCCCCTAGTGCTAGCAGCTGGTGAACTTGTCATCGGCTTCGCGTGAGGTGAAGGGCCAGTACAAGGGGAAGAAGGGACACATGAGGACTCGAAGTCTTCTTGCATCCATGTATACTGCGCTGCGAGAGACCACCGCACGAGCAGGACAGTGGACCTGGAGGCTTTCTGCGTCGCAGTTCAGCTCGAGGACGGCCGACTGCGCACTTGGTCACCTAGCTCGAGTAGACAGTTTTGCCGCAGTGAGTCCATCGCAACATGTAGGTTGGATGTTTCTGCAAACCTGGGGGGTCACCCCCCCTCCCCCCCAAACGATGGACCAAATGCGGGGAGGGGTCCCCCCCCAGCCTGCTTAAATCGTGTCTATTTGGCAGCTGGAACTGTGTGTTTGCACATGCCAGGCTTCTATGAATATTAAAGACAAAGGCTCTGTTTGGGTGACGTTGCTCTGGAAACCGTTCAATTGCACGGAGTCCCCCCCTGATCCCTTCATCTTTTATGGCGATATTGCTCTGGAAAGCCTTCAATCACAAGAAGTGTCCCCCACGTCGTTTTTGGTGCAGTCAGTATCCCCCTCATCCTGCTTTGCCTTGCCGGGCCCCAGCAGAGACTAACAAAATGGGGCTGTTTTTTCTCGGTGAGACAGGAAAAGACAGCATTCACTAACAAAATGGGGGCTTGTTTTTCGGTAAAAGGGCCACAAAATAGGTTAACGAAGTGGCGTGTCTTTCTTGGTGAAACGAGAAGTGGCCGGGCCACAGCTAAACTAACTAACAAAGTGGGGCCCAGAAGAAGAAGGGGCCGGACCGGTGAAACAGAGGAAAGCAAGGGCTGCAGCATTGGCTAACAAAACGGGGCTTGTGTTTTTTGTGGAGGAGAACTTAAACAAAAGAATGATGGAAACTGAGGTTTGTCCTTTGTTTTTGTGGGTGAGGGTCGAAAGGGTGGGAGGTTGTGCGAGGTGGAGCAGGGTGGAGATGAGGGTGGGAGGTCGGGTGGGCTGTGGGGTGAC